GTCAGGGGCAGAGCAGTGGGGGTTATGAGAGGTGAGGAAGGGCACAAGGAAAAGATGAAAAACAAAACAAAAAAAAAGCAGAGAAGAAGTGAATCCTGTGCCACTCAGTTCCTTCCTCTCAGACGGCTCTGATTTGATTCCACTTCCTCTTCCTGCAGCGTTGAAGTCAGCCTACTTCCTGTGGAGACCATGAGACTCTTCCTGTTCATCTGCATGCCAGGTAGAAACTGTTTGATTATTGATTATTTGAACCATTTTAATTCAAGTGTTTGGATGTGGCGCCCCCTGTACAGTTGTTTTTTTTTTATAGGAAAAGACACTAAACATCATGGGAAAATTTTGTGAAAGGCCAAGGACGGGAACCACTCCTGAATGTGCATGACCTTCTTAACATGATCCCTCGTTTGGCCTCGTTCATTACAGTAATATAATAATAATAATAATAATAAAGTAATTCCACCTTAAGGCTCTGAGTTCATGCACATTCAGCAGCAGTTTCTACACTTTTTGTTATGAATAGAAAACAAAATTAATTTTTTTCTGCTAAACAATCTTCTGATGTTTAGACAATTGTTTAGCAGAATTTTTTTTAATTTTCAGAAGGAGCGAGGACTCCTAAACCAATCAGAGTCCTCGCTCCTTCTGTCTGTGTGAATTACCTCAAAACTAGAGATTTAACCAGATTAAACTGCAGTTTAAGGTGTTGTAATTCCTTGAATTGACGTGTACATTTCTAGTCAAAACTGTATAGGAGTATATTGAGTATTTTTTAGTAGCATCTGTTTCCACTGTGCTCCTGTTATTCCTGTCTGTTTTTCACCACTTCACTAACCACTATTTCCTGCGGTGACTTCATCTCTCCTCCACAGTTCTACTGCTCGCCCAGGATCCATTTCCGGATCCATATCAGTGTAAGTTTATTAAAGACCTCATTACTGTGGATTTGTTTTCCCTCCCAGTTCAGCATCTGTTCCCCATCATTCACCATCCTCTGAAACGTGACCTCCCCTGGAGGAGTTTTCTCTCCTCTGGTTGTTATTTACCCCCCGCAGAGCAACTGCTGATGTCACCCTGTAAAAAAAAACAAAAAACAGTTGAACCGACGTGGAGAATGTTCTTGTTTATAAATATCCTTCATATAAAATCAGAGTTTAAATCCCACGTCTCTAACTGAAGCTTTTACTACCAGTGTGTTCCTGGGGGTGAATGGGAAGCAGTGATGAGGGCATTTGGGGCAGATGCTCATTGATTTCACAGCTTTGGACTCATTGTGTGTTTTTGTTTTTGTTTTGTTTGTTTATGTGACGGCTTCACAGACCATTATTTGCCAGATTTTGCACCAGGTAAAACCTCCTCTGAGTTTATAGAAATGTTTTCTAGTTTTTCCTCTCCTGTTAGAACCTCCTTCTTCTCCTGTTTTTCCAGAGTCAGAGAACCATGAGTCTCCTCCTGGAACCTTCCAACAGCAGGTTCGAGTCGACCCCGTGGTCCCAGAAATACCTGGTAAGTCTGCTGCGTTTAATGACATCGACGTCACTGTTTTCTGGTAAACAAACGCTGTAGCCTGGTGAGGTTTTGGCCTCGACTCACTGTGAAGTTTGTTGGGGTTTTTTTTTTTCATGTAGGATCTGATCTGGAGACAGAGCCCACAGAGCCCGGCCCTCTGGGTAAGAAGGCTGCAGGAATGAGGAGACGTAATTATCAGGGATGTCCGATAATATCGGCCAACCGATATTAGCATATCTTGTAACATCTGTAAGAATCGTTAATTCGGTTTTCCCTCCGATAATGACAACCTGATAACGCAATGCCTGGGTTTTCGCCAAATGATGTGTGCTCTTAAAATAGTATGGGGGAAAACCGGATGTATATGAAAGTGAAAGCCACTAGAAAATAGTTTGGGGGGAAAACCGGCTGTATATGAAAGTGAAAGCCACTAGGTGGCAGCATTGCAGCTTATTTCATTATTATTATTTTGTATGCAGAATGCTGGTGCCAGCAACTCTTACAGTGGTTTGTACAGATAAATAAATTGATATCACCAGGCGATTAAAAGTATTTTAATTCTGTCCCCTAGGGGGCAGAAAATAATTGAGAAACACTGTTTTATCCCATCACCTTAGCGAGGAGGCAACACTTTACTTCCACCACTGCCCCACTATATCGGTATCGGTTAATATCGGAATCGGAAATTAAGTCTTTGAACAATATCGGACATCCCTAGTATTTATCCGTTATTATCACAAATGAATTCACCCCGTGTGTCTGATCTCCAGATTGCAGGGAGGAGCAGTATCCCTGCACCAGGCTCTACTCTGTTCACAAGCCGTGCAAGCAGTGTCTGAACAGCCTCTGCTTCTACAGGTACAACGAGAAAAAAACCCAAACCGTACAGCTGTGGCTGTGGTTTTTAAAACATGTATTATTTTAGACCTGATGCACAGAAAATAAAGATAACGCTGTTTTCTTACTTTAGTTTGCGACGGGTGTACGTCGTCAACAAGGAGGTGTGCGTCAGGACCGTGTGCGCACATGAAGAGCTGCTCAGAGGTAGGTCCACTGTCCCACGGGATCCTTCTCTGTGAGGAACAAAGAACAGTAGACTTGTAGACTTTTTGACTTTTGTTAGACTGAATGACCTTTGACCTGTTGTTTTAAAACATCAACAGTAAAGAGATATGACTGGATACTTTTAGAATGAAGTAAATTAGTGAAAACTGAAGTACATTTTGTCACCGTGTCCCAGTACCTAATGACCTACGGACCGCCACCGGTCCCCGCACCGGGGTTTGGGGACCCCTGTGTTAGAACATTTAGAACTGGAAGTTTCTTCAGACACTGTGTCAGTTGTGTTTTTTTTTTCACTCGTGCAGCTGACCTGTGCCGTGACCAGTTCTCCCGCTGTGGCGTGGCCGCGCTGAGTGGACAGTGTGCGTCGCTGGGAGGAAGCTGCGGAAAGAGCTGTGGCGGCTGCTGATTGAGTACTGAGATCAGGGACACGACCTGCCCACATACTGCCACCGCTTTTCTCCCCTCCACGTCCTCCAGCCTTCACCTCCTTCTCCCTGTTTCACCTCCTTCTCCTCCTGCTCCATCTGTAGAACTCACTAGTCTGGTGCCAAAGATTCCCTCTATCCTCCACATTTACTTTCCCAGCTGTGTGTGTGTGTGTGTGTGTGTCTGCCGCCATCCTGTCAGATGGTGAAATATATTCAGAAAACATTGATGATTGTATACATCACACTGGTGCTATCGAGAGTTAACCTTAACAGATGCACATGAAGCTGACAAATGTCGTTTTTTTCTTTTTTTTTTTTTTTTTTTTGTATTTTATGGCATCATTGTATCATATTAATCTCATGCTTTGTGTAACGTTACTTGTTTCGAGAAGCAGTCGTTTTGTCAGGACGTTCAACTCATCACCGCGCACTGACCGTTAGGAACCGACCCAGCGTCAGCGTCAGTGTCAGCGTCAGTGTCAGGCTGTCAGCGCTCTCATCCTTGAAGATCATGCGATGCGTCATCCATCCCGGTCAGTGTCCTCAGGTTTCTCCTACCAGTGCCGCGTGGATCTGGGCCACAGAGCTGGTGTATTCCAGTGGCGACGCATGCGCCAAAACAGGCATCTCACGGGCCGCCCCGGTACTACTGCTTTGTAAAAGTGTCACTATAAAGACTACGGAAATAAACAAAAGTACATTTTGAATATTCAGAGACTCCTGTGCGTTAATCATGAGTTTTGTGAAGTGGACGTTAACTCGTCATTGGTAACAGGTGGTCGGAATGAGCGGCGCGGTGATTGGAGGATCCCTTTGCGAAATGACGTCACTGGAAGCCGACGTACGTCTGTGTAGTTCGTTCAGTCAGATGACGTCATTAAATTACACTTGTTGAGTTTGTTAGATTACGGGATGACGTCATGAAATTACACTTGTTGAGTTTGTTAGATTAGTCGACGTGGGGAAAAAAAATCACAATTCATCAGTGGTTTAGTTGTGAGTTAATTTTAATTTTTTAAAAATAAAAACAGTTTTCGTAAAGTTTATACCTTCAGAGTATATTATAGAAGTGATTGTCATTGAAAACACTGCAGTACTGCACAACAATGACACGGAATTACTGAAAATGGTTAATAAAAATACATCTATGTAACAGTAAAGTAAACTAGTAATATTTACTAAGAATAATATACAGGAGGTCAGTTGAAAATATGTCTGTTACTACAAAAAAAACAATTGTAGTTTCGTCAACATTAATGAGCTCATATTCACCTGTGAGATACTAATTATTTTTATCTTCATGAAAATGCAAAGGCGTCGAGGAAAAAAACAGTGAAAACCGACAGCTTCAGTTTCCGGATTTGAGTTTTTGAGTCTGTTTGATGACATCAGTGCACGTCCTGGTCTGTGAGCCACAGGTTGAGTGTTCTTCATTAAAGTATATTAAAAGATAAATAAAAACAACGTGAAATCCACACGCTGGTGTTACTTCAGAGTAACAGAATATAAAACAGACGATGTTTTTCACAGTGACATCAGGAGGGTTAATACTGCTCTAGATGTTTTCCCTGAATGCTGGTGATGGTCGGACGCTAACACCGCTCCATCAATGAAGGATATAAAACATCTTCTAGACTTCCTTCTGTGAGTCTGAATGACCTTTGACCTGTTGTTTTGAAACACTGTCAGATTATCTTTGAATGAAAAAAAGTACAGGAATATGACTGGATTCTTTTTGGAATGAAGTAAATTAGTGAAACTGAAGTACATTTTTGTCACCGTGTCCCACTGCCGCCCGGTACCAAATAAGGAACCTACGGACCGGCACTGGTCCCCGGACCATGGGTTGGAGACACCTTGGTTCTAAGCTACATCTTTGTTCCCGGCCGACAGGATGGACGACGGAAGAGACGGCTGTCGTCTCTTTATCTCCTGCTGCAGCTGCTCCTTCAGTGTGGACACCTGTGACAGACAGACGGGGACCAGACATGATCCTGGTCCTCACGGTACAGGAGACATAAACTTAAAAAAGAAAAAAAAAAGGTGAGGCCAGTGCTGCCTTTACTGTCCTAAGGAAAAATAATTGTGAAATCTGAATTGCAGCACTCTGTAGTTCGATGAAGATCATTCGCGTCTTGCCCCTTGACTGTCTTTTTTTCGGACGACACGGGTTCTTAGGTTTATCATGTCGTAATAAACTAGCCTTAGGTCGACTGTTGGGAGAAGTTGTTTCTGGCTGAATCCAGAACCACGTAGTCATCATTACAGGCGAAGACGGAATTCCTTGAGGATGTGTTTTCTGTGGCTCCCTCCCTCCGAGCGATTACACACTCTGCCAGGTTTCTGACAGCAAGCGCAGGCCAGGAACTGACACAAAAGGCCGTACGGTGTTTTGTTGTTGCCCTGACATTCTGAACTGTTCTAGTTACAGACAGTTTTTTTTTGTTTATTTTTTATTTTGAATACTGTGGTCGTGCTGGGATACATCCGCCTGTTATTTAAAACCGAGACTGTGTCGTACGAGCGGCTCAGAACATGAAACTGACGGTGTTTGTGTGTAGTTGTGTTGTTTTTTTTTTAACCAGGCTTTTGTGATAGCTTTCTGTTTCTGTTTATATTTTACAAATATAAACGGAACATAGTTCATATTCACATTATATGTTTGGATACGAAATGAATGCATATACTGTAGTTCTATGGCACAAATGAAATGTTCATAGCCACATGCTCACTACGACTCACTCTATAATTTTATTTATCTACATGTTTTTTTTTTTTATATGAATTGATCCTGATCTACTCATTGGACGTTTTTTTTATGTGAATTGATCCTGATCTACTCATTGGACCCCTCTGATCTACAGCGTCTGTTCTCTGTCTGTGTCTTTCTAAAGCCTCGAGCTCATAAACCATTTGCAGCCCATCGATCTGTTAGCGTTTAGTAAACACTTGTAAAAAACAAGCTGTGATTTATCGATGAAGACATCATGAAAAAGTTAAATCGTCGCATTAGAAAATGTTTGATGCGTGTTCTCGTCGGGCACCTGCTCCTCCAGGCCTTTGACCCGCTGCCGATGACTTCTCTCTCTGGTCACCAGGGTGCGCTCCATGTCTCTGATCTCTGTCCTGTGTCTCTCTGCCTCCCGCTGAGCCTCGTCACGCTGCCTCCCCAAACCTTCACAGAGACTGTGAGACTGCTCCACCTCGGCCAGCTGAGTCTACTCACACAGCACACAAACACGGAACAAATGTGAGCACAAAAGAAAAAAAAAAAGAAAAAAAAAGAAAGAAAGGAAGTCTGACAGTTATGTTTCTTGTTTATTAACAGGAAAACAAAAAAATGTTCCAAGGAACATCAGACAAACGCGTGTTTGTTGGACGTTAGCGGAACCTTTTGTTTGTTTTTTCTTGACAGCTCATAGTAACAATAGAAATAAGGGAAAACAAGAAACACCGCCCGACCCGACACAGCCTCTGCTGAACTCAGTCACACAGGTCCAACTCTAAACATGTGTTTACTGTCGACATGGGTTTTCTGACCTGTAGCATCAGGATCTGCTGCTGCGCCTCCTGCAGCTCCTGTTCAGCTGTGTTCAGAGAGCGATCCAAGCGACTCCTCTCTGCCGTCAGTCTCATGCTGCCCTCCTCCGACTTCAGCCGCTGACGCTCCACCTGGAGCAAACACAGGAAAAAAAAAACAAAAACAAAATTATATATATATAAGTTTCATGTCTATAAAATACGAGAGGCTGAAAAGGTCTTTAACATAACAAGTGTTGGAAACCAGGTGACTGTTTGTGTAAACCCTGGTTTAACATTGTTGTTTCAAAACTAAAGGTTCATGTTGCAGTGTATCTGTAAGGATATTTTGAGCGTCCAAAAAGTGGAGTTTTACAGTTTGTATGAATATTACTGTCAAAACCCAATGATTTTTTTTCTATTTGAACATCCAAATGTTCTCATATTAACTCCAGCTCAGACCAGTGACAAACCAGAGACACAGCCGCTGACCTTGTCCAGCGTGTTCCTCAGTGCAGTTTTGTCCTTCTCCAGCCTCGAAGCCTGACGCTCAGCGTCTTTTTTCTCAGTCTCCAGCGTGGCCACAGCTCGCTGCAGCGCACGAAGTCGCTCCTCCGCAGACGCCCGCTCTGTCTGAGCCGTTTGAGTGCTGCGCTGAGCTTCCACCAGGGCGGACGAGCGCTGATTCAGAACCTGGAGAACAGAAGACAGTGATGAAAAATGAAACAGCAGCCTCAAAGTAAAATAAAAATCTTTCAAATCTTAGGTTGAATAAATCTTCACCTCCCGGGTGTTGTTGAGTTCAGCTTCCAGCTTCTCCCGTCTCTGCTCACTCTGGATCAGATCGTACTGGAAACTTTGGACCTGCTCAGAGAGGGACGCCATTTTGGCCCTCGCTTCTGACGATGATACCCTTGTTTCATCCATTCGTTCCTGTAAGCGCAAAGGAATCATAATAAAAGCTGCTAATCCTGTTTATAGTCTATATCTATTTTTATCATCTTTTTCTCCTTTACAGACCTGCAGCAGGTTTTTCTCCTGCTCAGTCACACTCAGTGTCTTCTGCAGAGCAGCGAGGCCACTCTGTGTGCTGCTGTGAGCTGCTGTCGCCTCCTGAAGACTGTGGTTCAGAGACAGTGTTTTTTCTTTGAGCAAAGATTCACTTTCTTGAGCTTTGACCAGAGCCTGACTCAGCCGCTCCACCTCCCTCTGCAGCAGCGAAACACGGACTTCTCCATCTGCCACCTGCAGTTCGTCAAAGTCAAAGCAATTAACAATTTTCATGGAGTCATCTTGAAAGACAAAACATTTCTGATTAGCTTTAGATCTAGTGAAGTGAAGTGAATTATTATTTGCCATTGTGACACAGCACACC